AATTAAATGAGATTATTTGAAGAAGAAGAACAACAATTCGACGCAGATTTATTCTTTAATATTAAATAGAATAAAACACAACAACAACAAACCATTGTACTATAAAATAAAATCAATTTTGAAATTTGATGTCCGTCTTCTTAAACACCTTCAACCTTATATTACTCAGTCATGCCTACATAAATCTATTAACAAATATGGCACATTAGAATCTTTTTATCGCACCCGAAAGTTGTGGGCAGAAAATCCAGAGTCCTGATTATGATAAATTAGGGTAACACCTACACGAGTGGGTGAAGCTGCAAAACTCGCCCACGTATAGGTAACAAAGCTAAGCTTTGCCCTCTTCTTGGTTCTGTACTCTTAGCACGAACCAAAATCGAATTTGAATAGTTGAATTCGATCTCGATACGCGCAAATTTCAAGAAGTTTATTATGAAATATTTTTAATTTTCGTTACATGCGTTTTAAAGAAACTAGATTACTAGGTAGTCGATTTAACGGTTTACGCGTGAAGGTAACAGAGAGACAAACACATTTTCGCTTTTATAATATGGATTACGTTCCCAATGTTTGCAAATTCTGTTACAGTATTTTTTAGTGAATAAATATTTCAAAAAACAACCAAAGGTAAAGAAAAAAAAATATAACAAAAGAAATAAAATTAAAAATATGTTGATGGTAACAAAATATGTTGGGCTTTATTAAAAAAAGTCGCGGGTGGCAGCAATCGAATCTCTTTCAGAATAGTATTTTTTAAACTACTAGCTAACCCAGCGAACTTAGTACCGCTATAAAATTAGGCGTTGGCGGTAGAAGGGTGAAAATTTAGGGATGTATGTATTTTTAATGCCACATTTTAAATATTAGGGGTCAACCCTTATCACTTTGGGGTATGAAAAAAAGATAGTAGCCGATTCTCAGACCTACTGAATATGCATATAAAATTTCATAAAAATCGGTCAAGCTGTTTCGGAGGAGTATGGTAACTAACACTGTGACACGAGAATTTTAAATATAAGACTAGCTGACCCAGCGAACTTCGTACCGCCACAAAAAAAGTAAGGGTTGGTGGTAGAAAGGTAAAAATTTAGGGTTGTATGTATTTTTGTATGATGTATCATAAAAAAAAATTAAAAAAATATCTAAAATTGAAAAAAAAAATTAGGGCTGGATTACCCTTAACATTTAGGGGGATGAAAAATAGATGTTATCCGATTCTCAGACCTACCAAATATGCACACAAAATTTAATGAGAATCGGGAAAGCCGTTTCGGAGGAGTTTAACCACAAACACCGCGACACGAGAATTTTATATATTAGATTTAAATTATGGTTTGATTTTTAAGAATTTTTATATACACTAAATCTAGTATTACAAGACTCCTAGGTGATAATATGTAAACTATCATTAGACGCGTAATTAATAGGAGAACACTGAAGAAAATGCTGCAATTTGAAAAACCTGGCGATGCGCTTTTATATGAAATGAACATGCATTTTCAGTATATACGAGTATGTGTACTAAGAAGTGATTAAAGGTATACAAATTTCGAACTCAACATAAGGTTATTGCTGTTATTATATTCAACAAATATCTACGAATCACTTATGAAAATAATATTTAAAATACAGTATTTTTTATGATATATTGCTATAGCAATTTTCTTTACTATCTTATCTTTAAATCTTATAGTTTTAATCCTGTATAAATTAAATAATAAACGATTAAAAAAATTATGTGGTTCCAAAATCAAATCAGCTTTTAACCATTCACAAAAAGATTAGATGTACGTTCATTCTAATTCTGCGTTTTCAGTCGCAGATAACTCCTTTTTCTAAGACTAGCTGTGCCAGCGACTTCGTGCGCGTGGACATCGGAAAATAACAACCCGTCGTACGTAGATGACATGATTTTTCTGATGAAGTGAAGCGCTCTTCTTGCATTATTTAAGCTAATACCTTATTCTTTGTACTATTATGTAATAGTTTTAATTAATTGTAATTTAAAATATCATGGTGTACAATAAAGTGATCATTCATTCATTCATTCATTCTTTGTAAATGATATTAAACGAAAGCCACTGGCGTCGGGCGAAGGGGGCACGGTAGTATAAGGAAGATGAAGGTTAACGAAAATGTGCCATATACAAACGATGTTCCTTATCGCAACTCATTCCCATCATATAAATTGGGGTCATATGGGAATCGCCATTTTCCCTGAACATCGTCATACGGCTCTAAGCTGTTTTGGCGCTTCGCTGGCCGCAATACTAACCTAACCTAACCAGTACGTCTGTTTACCCGCGAACTCTCACCCTCAGCTGGCCCCGGGCTCTGGGTTACCCTACCTCTAAGTGCCCCCACCCTTGATATACTCCATTTTCCTGCTGCCTACGACTCCCGGGAACTCTCACCCCGAAGTGATCCCGACTAGTACTTTAAAGTTCAATATTTCGCAAACGGATCCCTAAATCTAAAAACAGTCATAGGACACTCTAAGTAATTTTAAAGGACCTATTCAACGATACTCCACAAGTGGGGGACATTGGCCATTTTTTTTTTCCAATTTTTTATTCTACCATTTTACCAGACAGACGGACATGACGTAACTATAAAGGAAACCTAAAAACTAGCAACCTCCAACGGTTCAAACCTGCCTTTGTCATATCACGGCAGTTACAAACATATAAATTCATATTTATTTTGAAATTATGTAGCAGTGGAAAACTGCTACGAAATCAGTTAGGTTGCCTCGAAGTTATAATTTCCAATTTTAGGGGTGAAGATGCGTTCTTTCTAACGTGTATTACTAAAAATTAAATATAACTGTGGTACGAACATGGTCGTAGAATATAAACAAAACCGAGTAGGTACTATTAAAAATTATATTACTGAAAATTTACCTTGTTCAACAATAATCGGTTTAATATTTGGTGTGAATTATGAACCACTTTGAATTGTCATTGATAATTTTTTTTTTTATTTTTGTCATGTTAGAATTTATTAATTGATATGGATAGATGACACAGGTGAGTTTTTGAACTCCACAACTTTCACAAAACAGTGACGATATCAACATTATAAGGTTGAATACTTTTAATGTTATTTATTTAAAAAAGTTATGGTCATCCTATTATATAAGGATTAAAGTAGGTACTCTGTTCTATATCTCTCACTCCTCCCGTTTCATCGGTGAAAGTACTCAGTCTTAGTTTTATAGTATGTGTATGAGTAAGAGACTCTGAAACTCCTTTTAAGTATTTCAAAAAACGATTCTATTTTTTGATATTCTGTCCAGTTTTCGAGACAATTAAATTTATATCGATATAAAAAAACTTTACTTCATCACACTGCTGCAAGAGGTATATACATATTTTGATTACGCCATACTCACTATTTTCAGGAATTTTGTAATGAAACACTGTCATTACTTTGAAAATGTCAAGATGGAGTCGGATTTTTTTAACTAATATGATGATATAGTTACATTTTTTTAAAGTGAATAATGAGTTGCAGTGACTTTGTTGGTTGTTTTTATGCGTCCTTTATAATTTCGGCAAAATTTATAGCGCATTTCAAAGAAATAATTTCCACACCGAACTCTGTAATTGACGTGGGTAGCGCTTAGCGTAATATTGAACACTAAGGCCTGTACAGGCCCGTATTACAGAATGACAACTAAGTGTTGATCTTTACTTGAGTACAGTTAGAAAGGTCTACTACGAATATCGGACTGTTAGTGATTGCGCTGACAAGTTATCATAACAATACTTACAAGACTACCTTCACAACATTGCAAGATGAGCAATTTAAATAAGTCCTCATCGGAAAATAACATCGCTGATCTTAACTATGAAAGTACTCCCCCGTACTAGGTATGTTTTACAGCGAAGCAAGAGGATGAGGGAAGAAGATTTGCCCTTGGAATTCAACAACTTTAAACAGGAAATTCGAGAAATATTCACGTCATTCATTACTACGCAGCAGTCTCACTTAAGATCAATCGCAGCGGAATTGAAGGAAATTCAACAATCAAACCACGATATAAACAGCAATTACTTACCTGTCAAAATGAAGAATTGCGAAAAGAAATGGAGGGTTTATACCTACAGGTCTTAGAAAGTAGAATAGAATTTTGTTAACTGGCTACAAATGTTTTGGAGCGAAACAGGCCCAACACAAGTAGGTATTTTATAATTACTTACTGGGACCGTTTCATTTGTATGCATTTATGTTAATAAAAATACTTTTAACTTTTATTTTTTTTACTTTTACTCATTATTCTGCTAGTTTCTACCTTACCATATATAAATTTATATTTTATACCATTTTTACATTTTTTTCTAATCTTTACCGAATAACCTTGAGCGAATAAAACTTTTTCTAATAAAAAATATCTTTAGATCTATAAATCGATCAAATTAATGCTTATAGATAAAAGTGTAATCAAATTAGAAAAATCTGTCATGCTTGGCTCTCGAGGGCCGGGCTACTAGACACTCAAGCCACCGGCCCAGCAGTGAACGGCCCTTTTCTCGGACACCGGCTTAAGCTGAGAAATAAATAGAATGATAAGTATTTTAATTACTGTATTTTTATTATTCGAAGCCCAAATAATCTAACTGCAGTGAATATTCAACTGCGGAAAATGTCGGCTGACCCTCCTGCGTCATCAAGTTGCTCGTTGCTGTATACCTCGTTGGATTCACTGGAACTGGAAACATCGTCACCTTTACACCACAGGCAAAAGGAGATACTTAATAATATATATATGTATAAAGTATTCTTCGATATAAAATAAACTAAAAAATAATTTTCAAATAAACTAAATGATTTTTAAAGAAATGGGGGGTAAAAATACTAAAGGCGAGGCTGTATGGACTTTAGTACCCCTTGAATTCTTCTAAAAAAGGAGAATATTTAAAAAAAAATACCTCACTTTTGACAGTGACATTATTTATGTTTGTGACATTTCGAAATGGCGGTGAGCGTTCTACGTTAAGTACTAATTCGTATTTCGCAGTGTTTTACTTTTAGAGACTTAAAATGCACATAAAACAGGTAATTAATAAAGTTGTATCCCATAATAAGATGATAGTGTAGCTGACATTTTAATTCATAACAGTTTAAAAAAGTCTGTTGCATTAGAATTGTTTACATTGAATCAGTGTGTTTGGGATATTTGTAGGTGATTATTCAAGGATTCAAGAGTTATCGTGAGCAGATTGTTGTGGAGCCTTTTGACAAACGCCACAATGTTGTCGTAGGGCGCAATGGATCAGGAAAAAGTAATTTCTTTCATGGTAAGCAGACATACCCAAATTCAATATTTTTTACAACATTGTTGCTTAGATTCAATAGAAAATTTTAATATCAATTTATTGTATTTAATATCTTTCGATAGCGTTTCTTACAAGAAATCATGAATAGATTACAAAGATTTAAAATTGGAACTTAAGTAGCACAATTCTAGATAGAAAGTTTTGCAAAATTCTTGTTATTTTACTAATTAAATCTAAAATAATTCCGTATTCTAGCTATCCAGTTTGTGCTTAGTGATGAATTCTCTCATCTCCGACCTGAACAAAGATTGGCTCTGCTACACGAGGGCACTGGACCAAGAGTCATATCGGCTTTTGTTGAGATTATATTTGATAACTCCGACAATAGAATACCTGTAAGTATAGATAAATCATTATTCATTTAAATATTTCTGTAGGTACATACATAGTTAATTTGTCTGAAGTTTGATTGCAACACAACATTTTAATTTAATTATTGATTACACAGGCCTGCGAAAAAAAAATTTAAAGTTTTTTTGTTAAATGTTTAATATTTGTTTTAATTGTCTTAAAAATAATACAAAATGGTATTCATAAGATATATATAGCACATCACATTTATCAGATTTAGATGATATAGTATTTTGAATATGTAAAAGAAAAAAATAAAATTTAAGAAAATTAATGTGAATCATCTGCATGCAAAGGACAACTTATGTGACTGAAAACATTTAATTTTTAGTAGCTCATTCTGTTCACACTACAAAATAAAGCATATCGGCCGAAAATGTTGGGTGTTAAATTCTTAATTAGTGAGAAATCGGCTAATCAGTAAAAACCATAAAAACTCATTTTTATGGCAAATCTGCAATTTGTAAATGCCATCTTTGGTCTAATGTTCGTATTGACGACCTCTGTGGCCGAGTGGTTCATACGCCAGGTCAGGCCAAATATGCTTATATATGTACAATATATGTATTCTATCCGTTACCCTAGCATCCCATAACACAAGCCTTATAGTGCTTACTTTGGGGCTAGGCTAATTGGTGTGTTGGAAATATTTATTTATCTTACAGAATAGCACTTCAAGTGCTGAAAACTTAAAAGAAAATCAAAGATACTTTTTTAGTTATCTTAAATTGATTCTTGTTTTTTGGTTACCCATTCAATGACCGACCACTGTGAAAGTTGCTTAACTTCAGCGATCACAGCCCAAGCGCTAACCACCTGCGCCATTGAGCTGCTAAAACAAATAAGTAAAAAAATTTAAAACATTAACAGTAGCACGAATTGCATTATCATGTTCTAACGACTTGATACTATAATACGACCGTTTATTTAATGACACGGCACCTTCATATTCTGAGGGCGTATCACATTAATATGAGCAGACAATGTTACACCGAAATGTAATGAAAATTATCAGATTCATGCATAGCACCATTTATGTTAAAGGTCTTTGAACTTTATCTGGGAGCACGGTTAGTGCCCCCGCCAAGACGACAAGAAGAGCCAAACGAAGCAGAAAACTCAAACACAAATTCAAAAATCGTTTATTCAGTCTAGGCTGTTACAAGCACTTGTGAAGGCGAGAAGCTACCCCATCGGTTCGCAAAACTACGGCGGGAGAACTTGTACTGAGAACAACCAGCAATAAACTTAGCAAGGGCTGATTTTGAATCAATGACGACCTCCGTGGCCGAGTGGTTTGTACGCCGGGTTTCATGGTGTCGCCGACTCGAGAGGTCCCGGGTTCGAATCCCGGTGGGGGCAGATGTTTGTGTGATGAATACGAGCATTTGTACTCCAGTCATGGATGTTTAATATGTATTTCTATATAAAAATCTCCGACTTTCAATTCCGTTCTAGTTTTCCACTCAGTTTTTTCCAATGTAAATGTAAATGTCTTGCTCTACTATCCCATTCACAAATATAACAGGGGAATTTTGTGAAGCATTGCTGTTGGCTTCTTGGTCAACAGCAAGGCTACACAAAATTCTTAAAAGTTTACGTAATCATATATTATACATATTACTACTATATGCTTGATATGATTCATACCAGGGTGCCTGAGCGCGCACACAGACTCTAGTCTATATTAAAAAAAATGTGATGTGATACGTTAAAACAAAGTTTATATTTGCTATATACAGACCATTATCTACATGTTTGTGATGAATTTATTTAAAAAACTTTTTCATCGCAGACCTGTGTTATTCATGGCTAGAAATAAAATAGAAAAACAAATTTTACATTATAAATTATCAATATATATTATATTATCATTACCATCTTTTACTTTTAAAGATATTTCTTGACATAAGTATGAAATTAAATTTTGGAAGGAATAAGTTTTAATCCCTGGGTAGTTAGTTTAGAATTCAAGTAAAACTGTTGAGTGTTAACATTTTGAAACATTGATCTCAAGTAACCAGGGGCTAAAAATTATAGAGTTTACATGTTTGATGTATGGTTCATAATACATTCCATTTTTATTTGCGATACGTAAATCATCTAATTTGTCAGTTATTACACAATTTAAGAATTGCATAAAACAGACCATTTAAATGAAAAAAAGCTTGTTGTTGATGTTTCTTACAAACTTGGGTATGCTTAATAATTATGGGATTATATAATTAAGATTCTATCTTTATTGTAGATTGAAAAAGATGAAATTTTCTTACGCCGAGTCATTGGTTCCAAAAAAGATCAATTCTTCCTTAACAAGAAGGTGGTGCCAAGGTCAGAAGTTCTTAATCTGTTGGAGAGCGCTGGACTGTCCAATTCTAACCCTTACTATATAGTAAAACAGGGAAAGGTAAGTTAATTGTGATGAAACCAAGTTACTACTTTGTATAAAATATAAAGTTAATATTTGCCTAAATTAATGAAAGTTTGATGATTGGTAATGGATTTTAATAATGAATGAGAGTTTTACATTTATTTTACACTAGTCAAATAGTTCCAAAATTTACTTAATTTATTAATCAATAAATAATCATTTCCTGTTTTGACATAGATAATCATCACAGAGATTTGATTTACAAATTTTCAATACAGCAATAAATATTGGTTTTTAATCATATTATGATCAACTATGATCATCATCTCCAGCCAGTATGTTCTTAGGGCTGGTAGAAGAGCTGCTCAGTTTTCATAGCAACTTTGACGTCACAATACGATTACAAAGCTGTCTAAATTGGCGCTTTGGCCTCTGGACTCAACTGTGTCCATTTTCAATTTTGTGAAGAAAGAGTTCATCACATACGATAAAGGCTGATGCAAATCATTTTAAAATGAAAATTAACACTATTTATAAAACTACTATTGAATATGACATGTTATAACATACTTATTGCTCAATTTTAAACAGATTAATCAAATGGCTGTAGCTCCAGATTCACACAGGCTGAAGTTATTGAGGGAAGTGGCTGGTACCAGGGTATATGATGAACGCAGAGAGGAATCTGTCACTATTCTAAAGGAAACAGTAGGAAAGGTAATGAAATGAAATGAAATTATCTATATCTATACTTCTATACTAATATTATAAAGAGGAAAGGTTTGTATGTAAGTATGTTTGTAACAAATTGGCTGAAAAAGTACAGGACCGATTTAAAAAAAAAAATGAATGCTACATTATCACTGATTAATATAGGCTATAGTATATTTTCAAAAAAGTTAGGGTTCCGTATGAAAACTTCGATAATGTACGTGTAGTGTATGTACCCAACGTGTGTAAAAAATACCAAAAAATAGCCTTATATCGCGTACGCTGCGGAAGTCATTGACAATAGAGCAAAGTGATGTACTAAAGTTTTATAGAGGATATCTACAAAAAAGGCCGCGATACCATATTATGTCTAACTACTACAGTTATGTCACAAGTAGAGGCCCCCTGCGGTTTCACCCGCGTTAATTTGAAGAACAAGGTTTATAGTTGGTCAAACTTCAAATATAGACATAGGCTGTCGTGGGCTTTTTTACAGAACTTTTAAAGGGAAAGAATTCCGTCATACATGATTTTTGTGTAACTTTAACCGTTTACTCAGCGCACGCAACAGAATGTCACAAATGGAACATTTTTACCCGTTTTCGCAACATTTTTCATCGATGCGCTGCTCTTGGTCAATAGCCTGGTAATATATAGCCTATAGCCTTCCTCGATAAATGCACTGTCCCATACAAAAATATTTTTTCAATTTGGAACAACAGAGCAATGTTGCATTCGGTACAACGGGTCCTAAACTACGCAACGAATTTTTTACTTGGAATGGAAGGTTTATAATTATTATGAAGAAGGTCATTGTGTATAATGCAAGCCTTTGAACAAAAACTATAGTCTACACAACAGCTCTACACCGAAGCAAAGCGAGGGCGGGCCACTAGTACTACATATATTCAAATTGACTAATTGAAAGCTCCTTTAATCGTCCACTATTTTTTCCTACCACCCATTTAGGACATCTTTTAGCTGATAATAAGAATGGGAGTAAGAAACTCATCAGCGTTTAACAGAAATAGCAACATTTAAATAAAACCGTGTCAATACCAATACAAAAGTCCACTCACACTTTGTTTGCTGTGTCAGTATAAATTCAAATAGTGTTTGTATTAGTTAAATCAGATTAATAAAAATTTGTTCTTGCTCTATTTTGGATTTCTAAAGTAAAAAATCAACTTTTATTACTATGAAAAAGAGTTTATTTATTAAAATGTACTACTGAACCAATTTTGAAATAGTAGATTGTTAACCGAGGGTGGAAAGAATCAATTCCCGAGGTATTTAGACGCCCGAGCGCAACGAGGGCGGCTATAGTCCGAGTAGAAATTGATTCTTTTACCCGAGTTTAACACTGTACTTTTCATTTCGAATATGAGGAAAATGAAACTAGTTGTTTATCAAAAATATTTATTCATAAATAGGTATATGTATACCATAAAATAAGAAGTAGCTATTTAAAATTAATTTTTATATTAGGACAATTAGTGAAATTTAAAGTAACATTCTTGTTTGGAATGTTTATGCTGTTTAATATTTCTTAACTATTTGTGTAAACTCTTCTTGTACTACAAACGAGCGCTCAATATTTGTTTTTTGTTTTCTGTTTTAGTCAGTTTTACTAGTAATAATTGGCCTTCACTTTTAATGTCCTTAATTGTCAAATTGGTGAGTTCACTGCTTCTGCAAGCGCCGCTTATACCGAATACCAATACCACCTGTGAAAAAAGTATTTGGGTAATAAATACGTTCATTTTTAGAATAAATTATAAATACTTAGGTAAACTTACCTTTATTGCCAAATAAAACTCGAAAATTATGGAATGTTTTCAAATTTACATTATTTTTTACACTAAGTGTACTCTTGAGCATTGAATATCGGCTCCATAGCATAGAAGGCTGTAGTTTGCTAGACAGTCCATTAAAATATATAAGAAATACACTTTCGGAAAACGATTTTATATTCTTCTCTGCTCGCCACTTTATAAAATCATTGTATGTATTCATATAACTCTCTTTTGACATTTCTGGCAAAAGATTCTCTATAACACAATTTGCCTCGTCTTTAATTGAATCCGGTGTCAACATTTCTGAATCGCTTGAACTCATTTTTAATATTCAAAGTTGGATTGCTCTGTTTTACTTAAAAGATTATTATTCCTTTTTTATTCCGTCACAGATACATAACAGTTTAGTATCCCGCCAATAAATATGTCGACTTTTTAAATTTAAATATGGAACAGCGTAATGTTGCGGCTTATTCCGCTCAAAGAAGTTTGTGCTAAGTTCACACTGGCTGTTTAGAAAGTCACATGGCCGCAGCATTTTTTTTTTACATAAAATCTTCACACCTGACAGTAGTTCTATTTTTAAAGTTCATTCCGGCCCTTAGGCGGGAAGTAATTTGTATGAGTTTTTCCCTCTCTAGCATTTTCCAGCAGCATTTTCCACCCAACAAACAGATCAAAACAACACCACTTTCTTATATTTAGTTACATTAAAATTATTTTCATCACTGCAAAGACCGGGTGAGTTGTTACTTGTTAGTAATAAAATAATCTTGACATAAAACTATTAATAATGTGCTAAGTAAATAAGGCTAGCTTTCAGTTTTATATATTCTGAAAATGTTGCTATTCCATTGTGTCTGTAGAAACTTTGTCTTAACCTGGTTTGGTGGTTGCTAAATTGATTGTACTATCAATTTTCCTTCCTTCCTTTTCTGAAATGTGTTATTATTAGCATTAACAAACTTTTAATTCACACTACCTACCATTTTTTGTGCCACACACTAAACTGTCAATTTACAGCTTTTTTATAGTTAACCTGGAATTGATAAGTCATAGGCAAATAATATCCATTTTGACTTCAGGGGCAGAAAATCACGTTTTCTTCGGAAAGCTAGTTAGTTTCTCAAGCTGTTCGCTTGCGATTAATATGGTTTTAGAATGTCACAAGGTGTACATGTTCTGATCATCGAATTAGAAATAATATAGGATACTGACTGCGCTAAAAACTGAGTCCAAACAAAGTGCGATCAAGAAGGCGGGGCGATAAAAAAGCGATTAACACGCTAATCATGTGATTGATTAAGATTTCCGTTTAACATTCTCTTATCCAATGAATGGAAAGCAGAATTCATTTAAAGATAATTGATTTGTTAAAGTGTTTTGTTTTATTTGTGTGTGTTGCGTTAATATTGAAGCTTAGTTGGATGAGTTTTGTTGTTTTGATGAGAGTAATGCTTCCATATTTCTAATTCGTTGGTCCTGATACCTCTTTTGTTTTAGGTTGAGAAAATTAATGAATTCCTTCAAACCATAGAGGAGCGTCTTAAAACTCTCGAAGAAGAGAAGGAGGAACTCAAAGAATACCAGAAGTGGGATCGCGCTCGGCGCGTTTTAGAGTTTATTATCCACGACACGGAACATAGAGAAAACAAAAGGAAACTGGAGGAGGTATTTTTAACATTATTGATTTCATGTTGAATCAAATTGAGAATGCAATCCCATTTTCCAAGATTTTTCCTTAAAGATTTGGAGTTCTAAAGGGTAGAAGCCTGCTTTGCCTTTTGGCTTATTTTATCGTTTATCATAATTCATAAATAGAACTTTTTGGTTGGCAGTTTTTGTTTATAATTTAATACTACTTAAATTTCTACTTACATTTCTTTAAGACAAATTCAAAATCTACAAGAAAAATATGACAAGATTAACAAACTTACATTCTTTTAAATGTGAAAAGAGATTGATATTATTGTGACATAATACATCTGTTATTAGCTTTCTTAGCTAGAGAAATGTCAGTACTTAATATAATTATATGTAAATTCGCCCTCTCAGCCGTATCGTACAACAATATTACTGTATTAATCTCATGTCTCTCATGTAAGTGAATTTTGTATTCTTTTTTGAGAAGTAAATAAATTATTAAGCCATATAATTGTACATGTAGTTGGAGAAGATGCGTTCAAACAGCGGCAAAGAGCAACAACATTACGCTGATTTAGTGAGAGAAGCACAAGATCACGTCAGAGAAGCTAACAGGTAAAAATTTAATAGATATATATATTCATTTCAGCTTATTTATATGTACTAATATTATAAAGAGCTAAAGTTTGTGAGGTTGTAGGAGTTAATCGCTGGATCAACTGAATCGCTTTTAGAAATTCTTTTACCAATTGAAAGCCATGTCATTTGTGAGTGTCAGAGGTTCTAAATTAACCTGAAAAATTGACCTTTTTCGTGGTATCGGATTTGCAAAGTCTGAGCAAAAAAAAGTAGAACGAAAATATATGATTGAGTTATCGAGCAAAGTTGTAGAATTTAATAATGCCTTAACGAACTTAACTCTCGTTTCTCTTCAATTTTACCTCTAGACTTTATCACCAAATCCAACACGATTTCTGAATTAAAATCTATTCCGTCTGGTGATCTCGAGCCCTTCACCTTCTCCTTAGTGTCAACTGACCATGTTAAAGAAATTTTTCGTTCCCTTAGTTCTAACGCTGTCGGCTGCGACGGCATTAGTCGCGCTATGCTTCTAAATATTCAGAATTACATAATTCTAATTTTAACTCATATCATAATTTTTCCTTCGAGAATGGTTCGTTCCCTTCCTTGTGAAGAAAAGCCTTTATAATTCCTCTCGCAAAAACTAATAACCCAAAGGTATTGAGCCACTTTAGACCCATTTCTATATTGCCGGTCCTTTCTAAAGTCCTGGAAGCAGTGGCACAAAAACAGCTTTCTAAATTTATTCTAGACAATTCATTACTCTCTCAATACCAATATGGTTTTCGCCCAGGACAGTCTACTGCCCTTCTTAAAGTCACTGAGGATTTCAGAGATGGTATGGAGCTTGGCAAGTTGACAGTGCTCGTGCAGATTAATTTTACCAATGTTTTTAACACTGTCGACCATGATATTCTCCTTGCCTTTCTGGCACACCTTAGTGTATCTCTATCTACCTTAAAATGGTTTTCCTCATACCTGAACGACCGCCACCAAGCGGTTCGTGTTGACGAATCGCAGTCTGATTGGTGTAGCTTAGCGGCTGGCGTTCCTCAGGGTGGCATCCTATCGCCACTTCTTTTTTTCGTCTTTATCAATTTCATATCCACCTTTCTTCGCTGTTCGTTTCATTTGTATGCCGATGATTTGCAGTTATACCGCCGTTGCAGTTCTGATGAGATTGACACTACTATATCTCTCCTCAATGAGGATCTTGATATGCTCTGCAAGTGGTCTGAGCGCTTTGGTGTTGTTGTCAACCCGACTAAGTGCCAGGCTATTATTATTGGTGGATCTCGCCAAATATGTAAGGTTGATATTGGCGCTGTAAGTCCAATTGTCTATAATGGCATGCAAATTCCTTCACATTAACTAGACATGTCGGCGGGTCACAAATATGCTCCGTGCCCTCTATAGATATAAAAAATACTCCCTGTTCACACAAAAATGTCTTTAATTCAGACTCTTGTCCTATCAACCATAGATTATGCTAATGTGTGTTATCCTGACCTAAATAAAGATATTCTTGGTAAATTGGAGCGGTCTCTTAACAGCTGTATTCGATTCATATTCAGTCTACGGAAATATGATCATATTACTTCATTTCGCCGTGAACTCAATTGGCCGCCTCTTTCAGACCGTCGTGATTTAAGAATTCTCACATCTCTTTTCTCAATACTTTTTGACCCTAATGCTCCGTCTTATCTAAAGTCCAAATTTCAGTTTTTAAGTTCCACACACTCGTCCTCTTCGTTCATCTGAAAATCTTCTTTTGTCCATCTCCTCCCACTGCTCCAGCTTCGTATCAAACTCATTTTGTCTCCAAGCTATTCGTCTCTGGGACGATTTTCCGGAGAGCGTGAGAAAAGCACCCAGTAAACCTGCTTTCAAGGTCCTCGTTCGTCAGCATTTCGCTAAGAAGTCATAACAAATTCAATTTCTATATTATGACCAAACTCGGTCAATCCGCCTAATATTAATATTATTTGTAATAGTATTTTGTTTTATTATAGTATTCTTAAGTAAGTATAGTGGTATTTATTATTGTATATATTTAGGTATTTATCGTATATATAAATATGTATGTATATACAGGGTGTTACAAAAATACAAATAAAGCTTGAAGGGCGATGAAGTAATTCGTATAAGGAGTCCTCTCTATTTTTCTTAAAATATTTGCATGAAGTTTTAACTTTTTAAAAAAACAGTTATTTTAATGATCCTCGTACTAGTGACGTGTCTTAAAATGATCGATATTTTTATTAATCATTAAAAATAACTGTTTTTATAAAAAGTTAAAACTTCATGCAAAAAATTTCCTTATATGATGTACTTCAACGCCCTTCAAGCTTTATTTGTATTTTTGTAACAGCCTGTGTATGTAGGTATATGTATAGATGTTATGTATTATAATTATTATATTAAGTGTCTTGTAGTTTTATCATTTTTTTTTTCACCTTTTGCTTTTATTTACTTTACCGCATAATGTCTCTGCTTAGGCCGATGGTTGACTGATGCCATGTGGTATTAAGTCCGCCATTTGTTGTAAAATGACAATAAAGAGTAAATAAATAAATAAATGCCTACAAAAAAGTCGGGGACAGCATATGTCTAACTTTTATATATATGGTCTCTTTTTTAATCTCAGAGACAAAAATGAAATTCATCCATTTTAGTGTAGAGCGCCTACACATAGGGACATAAAACCCCCAAAAATATTTCGTATTTTTCACGGAGCTCTGCGGCATCTTAACTTCTCAACGGTCCGCGCGTAACTTTGATCCAAGAAGTTCTTGAGTGGAGTCCAAGCACTTCTTGATTGGAACACATTTTGAGCGCTCGTGGTGTATCTAGGGTATTTAATATCGTTGTGTAGAACACAAAATATTATGTTTTGATAAGGTGTGCTATAATTGTTATTATTTTTTTTTAAATAAGTAAATAATATAAAATCTAAATGATATAAAAAAAATAACCGTCAAATAAAAAATTAAAAGTTAATAATATAATAATCAGATATCGCGGTTACCACACTACATAATAAAAACTATTATCTTTTTTCTAACTTTACATTTGCATGTGTCATTTTTGTCTCCAAGATTAAAAAACAGACTAAGTCACAAAAGGTAGTTTTTTGTATATTAAAATGAAATGGTATTGTTAGGTGATATTTATTGGTCATATATCAACAATAATAAAGTCCAATCAAAATATAAATTTATTATCTCAAGTTTTACGGATTTTTTAGTGTATTATGTATAAAAAAACATGAAGAACCTTGTTTTCCTCCCTCAACTTTGTCTGTCGAAGCTCCTACCCTCCCTTATTATGACGTCACATATAATTTATCTGGATTAGGACATTAGCAGACATACACTCCCTTATAACCAAACGCGGACTAAAGGTAGTCTTGATTTAAACCTAATGTTATCTCTCTCTTCTTTTTAGCAAACAAAAGTGACAGCATCAATTTTAGTCCAGGTTGAACTTTAGTGTACGTTTTGTAATTATTTGATTTGATTTTATCGAATAAACCGTATAGACTTTAAATTGTGATGGTCCCTTACCATATTTCCACAGAGGTGGAACTGAGCTCAGAAGCAATTTACCGATGGCATTGCTCAAATAACACACAATGTAATTGGAGCTATGCCATTGGTTAATTTAGATACGTCAAAGAATTAGAAATAATATGGAATGCGAACTGCGCTAAAAAGTGGTTCCACGTAGACTGCGATCAAGTGGGCGGGGCGAAAAAACTGCTATCAACAGGCCGATCATGGGATTGGTTGGGATTTTCGTTTAACATTATCTTACCCAATAAATGGATAGCCGAATTTATTTGCAGATATTTGATTTGTCAAAGTATTTTGTTTTGTCTGTGTCGCGTTAGTGCTGTTGTTTAGTTTTTATGACTTGGGAGCCATATTTTAGCGGCCTTCATTAGAAAGTAATGCTTCCATATTATTTCTTATTCGTTGACTCACGTGGATAATGTCCTATCTGTCACGATACAGATAGAACATTAACGGCTTTATATAGAAAATTTTCAATAGTCAATTATTCTAACATAGAAAGTTGAAAGAAGCCCGCAAAGATGTGGCCGCAGCGCGGGAAGAAAAAGACATATTGTCTACGGAACAACAACAGTTGTTACGCGAGAAGACCAAACTGGAGCTCGCCATCAAAGACTTGACTGACGACGTCGATGGCGATAATAAGTCTAAGGTATCGTGGATATTTATTACTTTTATTCTAACGCAGAAAGTTGTAAAAATTCATAAGGACATATTGTCTACGGAACAACAACAATTGTTACCCGAGAAGACCAAACTGGAGCTCGCCATCAAAGACTTGACTGACGACGTCGATGGCGATAATAAGTCTAAGGTATCGTGGATATTTGTTACTTTTATTCTAATGCAGAAAGTTGTAAAAATTCATAAGGATATATTGTTTACGGAATAACAACAACTGTTACGCGAGAAGACCAAACTGGAGCTCGCCATCAAAGACTTGACTGACAACGTCGATGGCGATAATAGTCTAAGGTATCATGGATATTTATTAATTTATTCTAATTAAAAAGTTGTTAGAAGCCAAAACTGAAACTACAAAATTCTTAAAGTGCATTGCAAGGTAACTTGTTAAATTTCTTATTTATTGGATCATTACTAGGTCAGCAAATCAACTCAAAATCAATAGTATAATGATCTTATAAGATTTTTAAGTAATATACTTTTTAAATAATTGAAATGAGTTCATTCGTTGCGATTTTATAACAAATTTTATGATAGCTAATATTACGAAACGTGTGACGTCACAGGGCTCGATCATGGTTCACTCCGGTCGATTTTCAGTAGTGTTTCTACGCACGCTCGCGCCTGACCGCTAGAGCTCTATGACGTCACAGCCACCACGCGGCAAGCCAAAACGTTTGTTCGTTTAGTGATGTGATTATGACCAAATTGGTCATAAGTTCGTCAATATTTGTCGTAGAAAAAAAATTAACCTCTGTATTTTATGGAAACCTTAGCTCTATAAATCTGCATTCTGCACTAAAATCGTTATGGATCCTCATTATTGTTGTTGTGTTGTTTTTTAACATAGGAAAGAGCTGAAGCCGAATTAGAACGGTTGAGACAGCAAATATCAGAGAAGGAACGCGAGCTAGAGGAATTGAAACCTAAATACGAAGAGATGAAGGCTCGCGAAGAGGAATGCACTAGAGCTCTATCTTTAAACCAACAGAAGCGACAAGAACTATATGCTAAACAAGGACGGGGCACGCAGTTTACTTCGAAGCAAGACAGGGACAGATGGATCGAGAAGGAGTTGAAGTGAGTCATTGTTATGTCTCAATTACACTTGATCTTTAGCCTGAATTCGATTGCCAATGGAATTCGGGTAAGTGTAAACGAACGGAGTCGAGTACGCTCGTATTCGAGTAGTTTTCGTTTTGGTTACCCGACACCGTCTTCCAGCCCGTATTCCAATGTAAATATTGCTTCGGGCGCCCGAATTCAAGTAATGTGTTACGTGCACACGAAAACGACCAAGTGTAATTGAGCCATTATGCTAGCAATTTAAATGGATAAATTCGTATTTGCTATTGGTCATTTTGACAGCAGGTTGTCCTTATCACACTCTATAGGCAGTGAAAAGAAGAAACTGTTGTCCATTTCACAAATAGTGACTTTTCTGGAAGTTTATAAATAGCAATTGAGTATAAATATGTTATAGCCGTGTCAAATGACGGAATTACATGTCTTTGTATTAAAAAGTTTGATATCGTAAGTTGTAATTGTGTTCTGACAGTAGTTAGTGTGTTACTTTTTAATCGACTTTTAAAGAAAAGTACAAAGACTCCCAGATGTTTCGTAAAGCACTTAGAATAAATTAAAAAAATAAAACAACACCCATCATTTAACCTAGCCGAAGTAAACACTGTAAGGCTTGTGTTATGAGATACTAGAATAACGGATAGAATACATATACTGTACATATTATGTAAGCATATTTATAAAGAAATACATATTAAACATCCATGACTGGAGTACAAATACTGGTATTCATCACATAAACATCTTCCCTCATCGGGATTCGAGCCCGGGACCTCTCGAGTCGGCGACACCACGAAACCCGGCGTGCCGGCCACGGAGGTCCGTAAATAGAATCTTAACATAATATTTACTTTAGTGTAATTACAGCCTTACAGTGTTTACTTTAGTGTAAATATTAATTATATTTTGGAACTAAGATATTTAATAATATTTATATTATATTTTTGTAATATTACAGTCGAAATTTAACTTGTGATAGAATATTCTAACTACTTAAAACCCACATACTTTTTTATGATAATCACAAATTAATCACAATTTATGATAATTCCATCATCATTGGATCGATCAGCTTATTTTTGTAAAAAAATAGTAAAATAACTGTATTTCTCACGCAGATCTCTAAACAAGCAAATCAAAGACAAGAAAGACCACGAAGGCAAATTGCGCGAAGATCTCCGACGCGACGCGACCAAACTCACAGAATTAGAGAAGAGAATAGAAGAGATGACGAAAGAGATGGAGAGACAACGCGTAGCCATAGACGAGCACAACAAACAGTACTACGAGTGCAAGAAGAAGAAGGACCAAGAACAGAGTACGAGAAAGTAAGTTACATTTTTATTTTTTTGCTGAAAAAAAAAAAATTTTATCAATTTGTACTTTTTTATTGGTGGAATTGTTTTCATGATTGTCATTCTATAAAGGATCCATTCTTCTCCTTATGTCCAGTTTGTACCTCAAGTATAATCATGCATTTAGGGGTACAAAAATACGCCGAAATCATCAAAAATATAAAAGGAATTTATTATCCAGTTGTACCACATTAAAATATCGTTCAAATTTTTAAAGTAATGGCAACACATAACGTATTATGGTAAACTAGCAAACCAGTGAACCAAATGTTCACCAAAAAAAAATGTATTTAATTAATTGAGAACTTCGGAGATTTTGTGTGGTTTCGTTTGAAATAGAAATCACGTGATTTCTCGAAAACCGGAAATGCTACGTTACTCACATCCGGTTTGTAGTCTTATCAGACTATTCTTAACTTATAACTTAAACATTCTCTTTATCTATCTCTTACGGTTTGGCCGCTGAAACAGCACCACGGACGGACGGACGGACTTGTCTATTAGATAAGAGATGTGCATCTTCAAGTACAATATGAATAAGCTACGGAAACCATGTGATTTTTGATACAACCAATTACAGTCAAGGAAATAAATTTAGACCAATAGTATTAGCTGTCAACTGTCAGTAAATGACAAATTGCGTCTAAGATAACGTTTGTTTATACGCAGATTCCCTATTTTATTTCAGATTTTCAGCAATTTTTATTAATTTATTTGGGATTTTCATAAGTGAGTCTTTTTAAGTATAATTTTAGATATGATTTGAGATAATGTGTACCAAGCTACAAAGCAACATTGGGCATAAATCTAAGGTCTCCTTTTTGCTATTTTCATGTTTTGCCTTCTTATAGTCAGAATAGTTGTTTTTTTATTACTCTGTAGACAAATTGTAATTGCATACAACGCACATCAATATAATTTAGTTCCCAATTAACACTAGCTTGTACTTTGTAAAGTAAGCACGCATATAAAAACATGCTTTAAAAATAGAAAAGTTATAACTATGTAAAGTAAGTTAAAGAAATGCTTAATATAAGCAACCATGATTTAGAAAGTCTCTGTGCTCAACAAATGCTTCCGCTCATTAAATAGCAAAAAAGATTACTTTGCGTTAGTACCATAGGCATAGAGAAATGTTGATCGTTTGCTGTCCATATATAAAGTAAAGCTGGGCTGATAAGTGTGAGGGAGACGAAGCGATTGTGCGGTCAATACTTTTAAGCGTTGACTGCACAATCCCTTTGTTTCTTTCCAGTGTGAAGTCCATTTCAAGTGATCGTCGCTCAAAACATTCTAAAGAGAACAAACTCAGAATGAATGAAAAGAATGGAATGAACGAAAATTACATTTTACCAACATAACCACATTGTTATTAGGTAATTTTCTTGAAAAGGGTACATTTCTCATTATTCTTTTTGACAGTGAACTTTGGCGAAAAGAAACATCATTGACGCAAAACTTATCTTCTTTGAAAGAAGATTTGGCTAAAGCAGACCAAGCACTTCGTTCTATGGCCGGAAAGGTACACAAAATTAATATAGTCATATTTTTTTTTTCATTTATATTAAATGTTACTTATTTTATACGAGGTAGAAGAGGGATAAGAACCGTAGGCCATCTGAATCAGAATCAGAATTTTATTTGTGAAACATAGGTTAGTAGACATGGTATATCAAATTTTTGTTAGTATCACTACATTTCCACCTTAATTAAGGTATACAAATAGATATGGTCAAAGTAGATTATAAATTAATTATAAATTTGATAAGCCATAAAGTTGTCATACTAAAAGTCAAAATTTTAATAGAAAAATAAGCAAAATGTCCAAAATATCAATAAATACACATTTCTGAATTGACAATTTTAATATGTCTAAATTTTATAATAGAGGACTGCTTTTATAAAAGACATGTCTAATTACAAGATTTGTCATTTAAAAATTCCTCAACTGTATAGTAGGCTTTTTCAACTAATAATGCTAACAGACGCTTCTTAAAAGTCTTTATCGGTAGTGATTTAAGACAACTCGGAACCTTGTTGAATATTCTGTGAGCCATCCCAAAGAAGCTACTACTAAAATGTACGGTTTTAAATGAAGGAGCGCAAATCCTATTCCAGTGACGATGATTTCTATCTGGGTTCCTTTCTGAGAGTGTCGGAAACAGAGAATTGTTACATAACACAAAAACAGCTACTTCATAAATGTACAGCGAAGGCAGAGTCAGGATTTTCATGCTTATGAAAAATGGTTTGCATTTGAGGCAATTTATCGCTCTTATACACCTTTTTTGATGTTTGAATGAAAGAGTTTTATTCACAGAATTTTCCCAGAAAATTATTCCATATAGTAAGATACATTCAACATAACCTCGGTATGCAGTCAAAACAGTGTCCCTATTAGACACCTTGGAGAGTTTGTATAGAGCGTAAATTGAACTACTCACTCTCTTACATAATTTCTCAGTGTGAGATTTCCAATTAACCTGATAATCCATTTGCAGACCTAAAAAATTCGTTTCAGTAACAGATTCAATTTCGTCATCATTGCACTTTAAAGCTACTGAGGGTATTTCAATCTTTTGTCTGAAGTGTATTACTTTTGTTTTTTTACTATTCGGGCACAAGTTATTTTGGACTATCCAATTGTTAAGGTTTTCCATAGCATTATTAATGTCATTTTCATAGTCTTGTTCATTATTACATTGAATCACAGCAGTACTGTCGTCAGCAAATAAAATCATGGGATGGTCAATAGAATTTGGAAAGTCATTTATAAATTTATAAATGCATATCTATGAATTATGTCATAAGTTAAGTTTTTTACTAGTCTTTGTATTAATTGGTCATAGGTTACCTAAGTTATTATAGGTCAGTGCTTGATAAATGCCAAACTAAAACAATATATGATAAAAATATTTGCACCATTGCAGCATATTTGGAATACCTGCTTTGTTGCAATAAAATTGAAAATTTTAAATAATAATACAAATGATATATATATATATATATAATATAACGTAAATAGCTAGAGAGCCAAAATAAAGTACTTATAAAAAAAATATATGTTGAAGGCTGATTTGATAAATCGTATGTCGTAGTCATTCGCTATGACATCGCTCAATCTTACTGCTAACGCAATCTCAAAACTTAAGATAATTCATTATAAGGTTATTTTCACAATCTTACTGAGGCGAGTCTTTTTTCAGTAAGATTGAGAAATGTCATCGCCACTGCCCAATTTCGCATAATCGCGAGGATTTTCGGGAAAATTCGTTTTATCAAATCATACCTACGACATTTAATATAATTTAACTACATTTCTTTCTTCTTTAACTTCTCCAGCCGATTTTGAATGGAAGGGACAGTGTGAGAAAAGTTCTAGAAACATTCCAAGAGAGAGGGGGAGAATGGGCCAAGATAGCCACTCAATACTACGGACCGGTCATCGAGAACTTCACCTGTGACAAGACTATTTACACGGCCGTCGAAGTGAGTGCTGAAACATTATTAAATCATATCACAATAAATCTGCAGTCAAAGGGGCTTAAGTTGGAATTTAGTTGACACATTTGGCCTTTTTTTTACTAAAGATAAGGAATATTATTTATACCAAAATATAACTAAATAACATTTAATTTGATATTGTTTTTAATTTAATCAATAAAATGCTTGCTTAACAATGCTAAAAAAATCCTGAAAAAGTAACAGGCGGGATTGGAACCAAGGCGTTCTGCAATCCGAGCAAACGCACTAACCAATTATTTATTTAATTTTTTAATGTCTCAGTACAATATGTGATGCAATATAGCTCTTATGTTTTGTCCAATAAGACCTATATTTCTCTACAGGTGACAGCTGGTAATCGTCTATTCCATCACATAGTGGAGTCAGACACCGTAGGTACGAAGATTCTGAAGGAGATGAACCGTCAAAGTCTACCCGGAGAAGTCACTTTTATGCCTTTGAATCGACTCCAAGTTAGGGATATGGTTTATCCAAATGACAATGTAAGTAATACTTGAAGTCGAAAATTCTTTCGTCTTTATGTATGTGTTTCTTCTGATATACAGTTTATAGTAGTTTAGAAGGCAGGGCCTCACTTTTGTAACTGGGAGTAAGTACAATATTACTTTTAATTAAATCTGTAAGCTTAATGCATTACTTTGCTTTTGGATTGTCAATATTTTAATTTCTCTACCAGCAGTTTAGGATAGAAAAAAATAAGCGTTTTCTTTTAAGATTCGTCTTATATCTTCGATCGATTAATTTTGTAAGATTTTCTCTATTGTAATTATGTAGGCTTTTTAATTTTTAATAAATAAGTAATAATTGTTATTATAAAATATAACTCTCAATTTTTCAATTTAAGGCCTCATTATGCACTTTAAAACTAAATAGCCAAACAATATTCCCAAACTTCATAAAACACTTTTTATTTGTCCCATATTTTGTTTCACATAGAAAACAGATTCTATTTTATTCTGTCTAACAGAACGCCATAGCCATGGTGCAGAAGCTGAAATACGACCCCAAATACGCTAAGGCGATGAAATATATCTTCGGCAAAACGCTAATCTGCAGGAATCTCGAATGCGCCACGGAATTGGGGAAACAATTCCATTTGGATTGCGTCACTTTGGAAGGAGACCAGGTTTGTAACTCAACCGACTCAAGCAAAGTTCGAAATTAGTATCGTAAAAAATTAAATCCCAATCATTTATATTAAATGAAACCATTGATTGGATTGTTTTAATAGCTAAGTTTGAATTTTTCATACTTTTCACGACACTTTTACGAAACTTTTTGCATTATAAGAATTAAAAACGAAAATAATACTTTATATACAAATGTGACACGAAGGGGGAAAAGAAAATTGAGTCTAACCATAAAATCAGTTTTCTGACTTACACTTATTACGATTATGGAAATAAAGTCAAATTCTTGTAGTATATACAATATTTCTTCTTCATTATAGTTTAAAACAAAAATACTTAATTTCAAAACGAAGAACTCTATTCATCTGCCCAATTAAAAAATCTAGTAAGTTATTCTCGCATTTATAACATAAAAACGACCTTATTGCTACAACATAAGACTCTTATTTACCACTTATAATATGGTTTTGTAGGTGTCATCAAAAGGTTCTCTCACCGGCGGATATTTCAACCAATCTAGGTCTCGATTAGAAATGCAGAAGACTCGTTCAGAATTAATGGAGCAAATAACTACTTTAGAACAAGAATTGAGCACATTACGACAAGAGTTGAATAAGACTGAAACGAGTATAAATACAATTGTTTCGGAGATGCAGAGAACGGAAACTAAACAGGGTAAAGCGAAGTGAGTGAACGGTGCTAAATGATTTTACTATAAGAAATATTTTACCTTTTAAACTTGTGATTTTTTTCTATTGTGACTTAAGAATTTGAGTACTACATTAATCTTATAATAGTGTTTTTACTACTACAGTATTAAAAATAAAGCCCTAAGTGTTGGCATCTGTATTCAGATTTAATATTGGCAGCGCTTTTACCATATTAACGAAAAAAATGTTTTTTTTTCTATATTACTAATAATTTTCTGAAATAACCCGAAAAAAACAATAGTTTTTTTTAAATTATTTTCACTGTACCGAAAACCCCTGAAATTAACGAAGCCTAAAATGACGTCACACATAGGTAAACTTCCGGTCAAAGTAATATTAGTTGTGCCGTTTGACGTTTTAATCACAGCCATGTGACGTCAGACTTAGGTAAACGTGCCATATTACCCAGAGAAACGTTTTAGCGGTATTTCTAAAAGCAGTATTTTTTTATTTCCTTTTTTTTGGCAAAATATACAATAATTATGATAAATAACCAGTTTCCAGTCTGGAGTCCGTAAACACTAATAAATATCGTAAGATCGTGTTCAAAAAGTTGTCAAATTCTCTATTAGAAATATTTACAAGAAAAAATTCATTCCCTCCATACCATCCATAGGGAAGGCCTCGGTATGAATATACTGATCGTGATGAAATTCATATTTATTTCCAATGTTTTCATGTACATAAATTTTTGAAAGGGTATAAAGTGAGGTTTATTATATATGTATCACTTTTCCTACTATCCCTGACGTTTCGGGTACTTTTCGTGAAAGTTGCCTGGCCATAAATAAATAAATACATGTTCGCAAGACGGAACTTTTATTAAATGTTGACTGGCTACCTATTATTATTTATATTATTAATACTTGCCCAGGGACATATTTGATAAAGTTAAGGCTGATATACGCTTGATGAAGGAAGAGTTGGCGTCCATAGAACGTTTCCGTGGACCGAAGGAAAGATCTTTGGCTCAATGCCGTTCCAGTTTGGAAGCCATGCAAGCTACTAAAGAGGGCTTGGAATCTGAATTACACCAAGTAAGATATTTTTGTTATTATATTAATCTAAGTATGCTAGTCGGCGCTCGCGACTTTGTCTGCGTGGCAATATTAATTACTTATACAACCCTTTTCATGCTCTTAAAGGATGATTTCTAAGATAAAAGCTATCCCACGTCCTTTACCGGGACACAAAGTATCTCCATACCAAATGTTATTAAAATCGGTCCAGCGGATTAAAGTGGCCTACTGACATGCCTGCCGCAGAGACAATCTAGCGTGCACGGCGGTCGGGGCAATATCGGCTTGTCTCTTCTGCCCATACCTCAGGCCCAAATTAAAACGTGGCTGCGTGAAAGAACTCTGAAACTACACTTGACTGAGTGGAAAACAGATGAAGGATGCCGGCAAACGAAAAACGCAGTTCCGGCGGCAAACAAGAGACTTGCCCGCACCCTTATCAGACTTAATAGGGACAAACTCCGCATAATTATAGGAACCCTAACTGGTCATTGTCCCCTAAAAAACACCTATACACAATATTTTGCGAGTATTTAGATGTTTTTTTCTTTACGCACCTTTACTTGGTGAATAAGCTGGCGAACGTGTTACGCGTGGCGAAAAGTGTGTTCTGGCGAGGCGAACGGGAGTTGAGTGGGGGATATAAGCAAGAGAAATCAGTGCGCGCGCACCTTTTCTTTCTCTCTTTCTCTTATAGCTAGTAAATTAAATATGTATATGTACATACATGTATATCAAGAACAGCAAGGATTTCGTAAGAATAAAAGTATTAATATGGCAATATCTGAATTTGTATATAAAATTATTTCTTGTATGGACTCGGGTAAGCAGGTTATGGGCTTGTACATGGATATGACAAAGGCATTTGATTTGGTAGATTTTAATATACTATTTGACAAATTGTATAAATATGGTGTGCGGGGAAATATTCTTGAGCTTATAAAATCCTACCTTAGTGATAGACAGGTTATAACTCAAATCGACAGACTTTGCTATAAAACCAAATTTGAAAAGTCATATACATCTTCATCAAGGAAAACAGTTTGTGGTGTCCCACAGGGTAGCGTATTTGGACCATTATTTTTTAATGTATATATAAATGATTTTCCTAAATGCATACAAAGTCCAATGATCATGTTTGCAGATGATAGTACTATAATATTTGAATGTAAAAATGAAAATGATTATGAACTTTCAATAAATAATGACTTTGATAAAATTATGAAATGGATGCAAAATAATAAGTTAACTGTTAATTTGGACAAAACAAAATCGATGACGTTTAAACAAAGAGAAAGCAAGAAGATTATTGATGTAAAAATAGAGCATTCGGGGAAAAAAGTAGAAGAAGTAAATACTACCAAATTTCTTGGAATATACATTGATAATAATATGACATGGGAAACTCATTGTAATTATGTATGTGAGAAGCTAAGTAAATTTTCTTATGCCTTGTATATGCTTAATAAAATAGCTGACCGTTCTGCACTAATGACAGCTTATCATGGATACGTTGCGTCAATACTGAGATATGGCATAATTTTTTGGGGAAATTCTAGTAGTAAAGACAGAGTTTTCAAAGGCCAAAAAAGATGTGTGAGAGCAATAAGTCGACTTCGCCCTACAGACTCTTGTTATCCTCTTTTTAAAGAATTAAATATTTTGACTGTACCTTGTTTATATATATTTGAAGTATGTGTCTTTGTTAAAACGAATCTAAAATTATTTTACAATATATTTACATCTAAAAGACACAATGACAAGTTGTGTCAAAAACCTCATAAAACTGCTTTGTTTGGAAATAGTTTATATGGCGTTGCTCCGATAGTATATAACAAGCTACCACAAAATATAAGACAAATCGATAATGTGATAAAATATAAAGTGACCCTAAAAAAGTTTTTAGTAAATAAAGCTTATTATACACTAAAGGAATATTTGAGTGATGCTGAAATTTAAATTATTATTATGTCCTTAACTTTATGAACAAGATTGATTATTATATTGTTTGACATTGAGATTATATTGTTTGACATTGAGATTATATTGTTTGACATTGAGATTATTATATTGTTTGACATTGAGATTATTATATTGTTTGACAATGATAATGTGAATTTGTTTATATTATGCTCAATGAATGGAATAATTGTAATAAGTTTTTTTTTTCTCGACATGTCAATTAATTTGCACACCCCATTGGGTAAGAATATAGGATGCTGTTTATCTCTGTATCACCATTTGTAACCATATTCTGCAAATAAAGATTATTATTATTATTATTATATTATACATCATAAGCACACTCGTTTTTTTATCTTTCTGTGTGATTCTACATCCATCACTCTGCTATCAAATTTAAAAGAATTTTCCCATTTTTATTTACTTAGGAATTAATGGAGCAGCTGTCAACATCGGATCAGGGCAAAGTGGACGAACTGAACGACGCCATCAGAAGGCTGACACAAGAGAACAAAGAAGCGTTCAGTCAAAGAATGAACTTAGAAGCAAACAAGAACAAACTCGAGAACTTGCTCACTAACAATCTTATCAGGTATTTATAAGAGCTTTTTTACTTTTTGTAAGGGAACATACCCATACTACGTGACCCACTTCTTCAAATTTTTTACCCCCTCCCTTGGTGGCCACCCGTAGTTGTAGTTATATATGCCAAATTTAAGATGCGCGCGCATCACTGTAACACCACGAAGTTGGCTGCTAAACCGCACCTTAAGTCTCGAAAAAAAGCTACCAACAAAATAGAAATAGAATCTCTTATTAGACGCGCATGTTGGCACGCTCGTCGCATCTGACAGTCATCAGATTTTCATATTTATAATATTTGCTAATGTTATTGAGCAAAAATTAATCTTTATGATTAACCCTTGCGATGGTTATCATAAAATATGTTGTATTTTTTTTGAAATTTCACGAGTTTGATTCCCAGTTGTAGCAGGAGATTTTTTAAAAATCTGTGAATGCAGTTCTAGTTATTATTAAAAATAAAATGACGTCTTCTTTCAGTAAAATATCCTAACTTCAATATTTAATATACTTTCCCTCCGTGTGAGGTAGCCGTGGGACGCCCTGTATATAACACATTTAAGTGAAGGGGCCAACGAAAAAGCCATGTGATCAGCTGTGCGTGCTCCGTTTATTCCTTATAATGTGACCAGTATATTTCCGTCTGCAAAGGAATGAGCGCGTGTTTAATATAATATTTTAACTAGACACCCAATTAAAAATAAAAAATAATAATAATAAAAAAAATATTATTATGAATATTATATTTTAATAATAGTACAATTTTATATAATTTGTAAATATTTCAATTTAGGGGTTCTTTGCAAGGGTTGTAAGATTTTCAAGGGGTTGAAAATGATTTTAATATGAGGTGTTAGAAAATACTTTACAATTTCACCACTTACTATTAGACATGTTTTCTAGCGATAAAATGGCTCAATGTCAATTTTTCCATTAATTGGTTGTTTACACCCCTTAAAAATAAAGGCGGAGTTCAGATCATTTTCATTTTTGAAGTTAAGGGTAAGATGAGCCTAATTCCAAAATTTCATGCAAACCGGTTCACAGTAAAAAAATTCGGAGGTAAGACCGTATTTTTCGCTTCAATGACTGCACTAATTTTGATTTTGTTGTTGGAAATTACTTCTATATGTGATGTAATCGAAAAATTAAATGGGCTTGCTAGCTTACAAATTGTGTCCAACGTCGGGCGGAGTGAAACGAAGCAAAGAAGTAGCGTTGCGAGCGTTTGGACTCAATTTGTGAGGTAGAATGTCCAATTTATTTTCTACTGTCGTTTCAATTACAATAGTTTGCGTCTCTGAGTTTCAAGCACGATTTTTTCTCAGCTCCGTAACGTACCATATCTTTAATCAATAAAGACCACACGCCCCGATCGGGGCGCGCTCGAAAAATACATCAAAATTCAAAAAATTCAAAATTCAATATCGTTTATTCAGTCTAGGCTGTTACAAGCACTTGTGAATGTCGAAAAGCTACGCCATCGGTTCGCAAATCTACGGCGGGAGACCTTGTGCTGAGAAGAACCGGCAAGAAACTCAGCAAGGGCTGTTTTTTTCTCCCTGTATTATATACAGAGTCGTCAAATTGAAAAATGACTTCAATATGAGGTAACTCATAAAGTCACTTTTCATTACAAACAAAAAAAAATGCTAATAATATAAAAATTATGACTATAAAATAAAAAATAAAAATATGTAAAAAAAATGGTTTAACAAAGTTTAGGAATGACGTGTCCTACCGTTTAGGCAAAAAAAATAATAATAATAATAATGAACGATTAAAGTTTAGAACAACGATTAATAGTACCCAGTGAATTAAGAGCAGACTCATCTCCGCTGGCAGCACCCGTTCACGAGCATGACGCATGAACCAGCCATCGCTTCGCTCAACCATTTTTTAGGGAACGCAACGACCCGCCTCACACGACACCACCGAAGAGATTTTTAAGAGAACATGACTACTCATAACTAGGGTTGCAACGATATATCAGAATATCGATAATATCGAGACCAAAATATCGATATTTATATCGATATTTCGTAGACTAAATTTGAACACAATAATATCAATTAATTTACCTGCTATGACTATCTAAATGGAATAATATCGAAATAACTATTGCTTATAGATGTATTAAAAAAATCTTGAACCCCAACAAATATACTAAACTGGTGTGGATTCTGGCATGATTCTCTAAATCTAAAATTAAATTTGACAACAGTGTATTCTTGTCATTCTCTATACAGAATTAAAAGGAGAGACTGATGTTAAATTTAGTTTTAAGTTTAGATATGCCAGAATCGACACCAACGTATATAGGTATAATCGTTTACCTAATGGTAACTCATGCATTAAATAAAATCCTTGCCTCTCTTTCAAGATATTTGTCAACTACTGATTAATTGAAATTTAATATCATTGTAATATTACACAAAATAAAATTAAGAATCTCATACAAATCGTAATTTTTTTAAGCTTGCCAAGTCAAGAAAGTAAGATAGGTATAGTAATTTTGGAAGCTTTGGGCTTACCCTATTCTGAAGCCATGGGCACGCCCCTGATGTTTTAACATTTTAAACAAAATAAATATCTTTGATTCGAAGTTGCTTTTGATTTGATACTTCTTCATTCAACATCGTGTTGGAAATGTTGGAATGGCTGATATATCAGATCGGATATCGATATTTACCTGCCCACATTATAAATAATGATATTTTGGAAACCTTTGCTTCCTTAATTTTAGGTTTTTGCTTTAAAAACTTAATACAAAGCAAAAAAAAAGAAAAAAATATCGATATATCGATAATATCGAGTTAAAATGGTCGATATATCGGATATCGATATTTTCCTGACTTCGATATAAATATCGATATCAATATCGCTTTTCAAAACACTTTGCATCCCTACTCATAACCACACATGGATACTATGTTACTAAAATAGAAAAAAAAATACATATAGGTACCAGTGTACATTATTATAACAAACTATAAACACAACGGCAGGACACATGCATGTGATTACCTAAACACTGTTGTCGACTCTGGCAATACTCTCCCAACCCAAAACCAAATCCAACATCAGTCCCCCCTTTTCAGTCTGTATAGAGAATGACAAGGATACACCGCTGCAAAACCAAGTTCAGGTTTAGAAAAACATACCAGAATCCACACCGCCATTAAATCTTTATCAGAGAAATAATATATGTTCACTTACATTTTGATTGCTGTGTCATACAGTATAAATACAAGTTGTGTAATTAAAATACAATCAAAATTTTATAATAATTATCATTACAATAATAAAGTAGTATAGAGCAGACTCATCTCCGCTGGCAGCACCCGTTCACGAGCATGACGCATGAACCAGCCATCGCTTCGCTCAACCATATTTTAGGGAACGCAACGACCCGCCTCACACGACACCGCCGAAGAGATTTTTAAGAGAGCATGGCTACCCATAACCACTAAAACCAATCTGCAAAATAGTTACTTAGAGTTAAGGTAATTTATCTGTACGACACTGCAAACAAATACAAAACAATTTTGCAGTTACAGCCATCGCACGGTCAAACACCGCACGCCCCGATCGAGGCGCGCTACCCATGGGACTATAAGCCGTTTTTGTGATAGTTAGAGCCTACTTTTGTATTGAGAAGTTTAACCATAGATTAACTTGGCGAAATGACCTATCTCTAGAGCCGTAAAGTTTAAATAGCCCGCATGAATACTGCTTAAGCGTACCCCAAAAGTTTCTATCAAAACTAATCAGCGCCCCTATCGGACGTAAGATGAAACTATCTTTTTCCAGTTATGTTTTTATTTATTTTTAAGCATTTAACTGCTAGATGTTTAAATCTAAAGAAAAGTTTACTAGAAAAAAATCCACGCGGACCAGGCAGCGGACGGGACTGGTCCGCGTGGATTTTTTTCTAGTAAACTTATCTTTTTCCACATAAAATTTGACGATGACGATACGTTATGCAGCTGCCAAAAATTCGTGCTGTGAAGCGCTCTGATCAGTGACCAGAGACTACTACTTACTTCGTCATATTTGAAACATTCTAATTGTACATTTTTATTCTCATATTTTTGACAAATGTACGCAACGGAATGATACATATTAGATTTTCATAGAGTCCATAATAACTCGTAAATAACGTAACATCGTTTTCAAATACACTATTATCCAAATCTCCCACCAACAGACGTAAAGACGAGTTAGTTCAAGCACTCCAAGAGATATCTGTAGAAGATCGTAAACGTCGCTTGGCAAATAGTAAGGGGGATCTCAACGCCTCCGATAAACGAATCAAACAGATTAACAAGGAAATGGAAGAAGTCGAGAAGAAAGTACAATCAGCCGTTAAGAACGAGAAAGCACTAAAGATGGAACTGGACAAATGGAGGAATAAAGTAAGTTTTCTTTAGTATAAGCGGAAATAAAGATTATAATTTTTCGTCAGACATACTCGTATTGTTAACAACAAATTGGTTAGTGCATGCAGGCCGAGTATTTTTTTTTTATAAATAAAGTTTCCCTAAGATTTATAATGTGGCAGTTAAAAGTTTAAAATATAAAGGTTATGCCGGCACTTCACTAGGCTATTCGTGTTTGCTATTTGTAAACTTGCCTTCAGTCTGTCCTTATGAAATTAAATGATGTTTTCTGTAAACGGAATGGTCGAAAATTATCCTTTTTAAAATGCGTACGATAATGATGCATACTAGATAGATAAAAATGTTATATCAATCAGCTTTACCGTTTACTACAGTTTCTTTAATGTAAGACAAAGTCTCCCTAAAATATTTCAATACAGTACAGTTACAATCACAAATTCGAGTAAAAATATTAACAACTGAAACTCGGTAAAATTTCTAATAGGAAAAAGAAGCGCAAGACAAAATGGAAGAGGACGCGAAAGGATTAGAGAAGATGGCCTCCAAAGAAGTTCTGCTCCAGGAGAAAATACAAGAATCGCTGGACAAAATCGCTGCCTTAGGCACGTTGCCTAACGCACCGGAACTTCACGCTAAATATCAGAAATTGTCTTTGAAGCAGGTATGTTTTAAAAAAACTTGAGTTATATTCATGTTTTGAAGTTAAAATATAGGTCACTGTCTTTAATATTATCAGAATTTCCTTTTTTACCCGATTGCGCACGCAAGCAACGCGAACTGCGAAGCGCAAAGGGTATTGTTTTTAATAGTGATGCACCGAAATTCGTTTCACACTCGATATTCCCGAAGTTCGGCAGCTTTTACCGAACTTCGTCTTTGGCCGAATTTTGGTTAGATGTCCCGAATGTCAGACGAAACTCAATTACTTAATATAAGAAGATAATTTGATAAAGAAATGTATTTGAAAATGAAATCTTGTCAAATGATGAATTGTAAGCAAATAGGTTGATGGTTGTGTTTGTTTTTGCCCTAGACAATCAAAATATCTAATATCAAAATAATGATTCAAAAAATTATCAATTGTAATAAGAGCAAGGTAACATAACATTATTTCTTCTTTGTAACTTATTTTAGATGATGATACTTTGACTGTAAGTGTGTTTTTTATTTTAACAAAACAAAATTTACACATTTTGTTCATTCAGCAAAAGTACGCGAAATATAACCGAATTTGAACATTCAGCTTTGGCACATATTGAAACCGAACATTCGACCGAATTCGACATTCGGCAAGACCCACATTCAGTGCAACACTAGTTTTAAATTGGATCAATTTTTAAATGATTATTTTAAAAGTAAACAAAACAACGCATCTATAAGTAAATAAAGTTTTCCTATTTCTTACATAAACATCCCCATATGCGGAAATGTATGGTAAAAAAATATTAAGTCTCTTATATGTTTCAGTTCATTGCTTTCTTCTTTATGATTATTGTACTACATTTTATAGTCTGCAAAATCATTCATATGATTTTTTTAATTTTCCGCCCCTTAATTCGCCGCCCTTACAGGTTAAGCAAAGCATCAATGTTTAGGATTTAGATCTTAATAATATATGGATTTAGGTAATAACAATAGTTACTGCAACCAGCAGAGGGGCAACCTTACAAACCGGATTTTTTCAAATTTTGTAAATAAACTTTCTAAACTTACTATTTACGAGATTTTTCGTTCACTCTCATACTTGTGTCTATATTGTTCGTAGCTTTTCAAAGAACTAGAGAAAGCCAATCAGCATTTGAAAAAGTACAATCATGTGAACAAAAAGGCTTTGGACCAGTTCATCAGCTTCTCAGAGCAAAAGGAAAAACTGTACAAAAGGAAAGAAGAACTTGATATTGGGTAAGTCACTTACTGTAAATGAAAGCTAATATTGTTTTAATAAATTTGATTTGTAAGAACTTCATTCATATCTTCGCGTATAGACTTTGCCACCACAGATATTGACATACTAAACATCAGGTGGGGTAGAGCTTTTGCCTTCCCAGATATAAAAAAAACATCTAATTACATACACCTAAAAAAATAATAACTCGCGCCAAATTAAAAAAATATTGTAACTCTATTGCACATTATACTTGACAGGATATGCGAGATCGACAATAGTAATTATAAAAGACTAGCTGTGCCCCAAATGTTACCAGCGGTTTATTAAGGATATTTTCCCGCACTAAAACGTAGCCTATGTGTTAATCCAGGTTGCAGCTAACTCCATACCAAATTTTATTAAAATCACTCCAGCCGTTTAGACTTGAAGAAGTAACAAACAAACACACTCACACACTCTTCTCAAACTTTCGCTTTTATAATATTAGGCCGTGTTTCCACCTGCAAGAAAACTTCTGCAAGAAATGTTAGACAGTCTGTGCCACAGCAACTTGCAAATATATCCTACGTAGCAAGTACGCTCGCGTCAGCATTACAAGTTGCTGTCGGACATTTTCTCGCAGAAGCTTTCTTGCAGGTAGAAACAAGGCCTTAGTGTGATTAATGGTATAGGAAACATCCTGCTCAAATATAAGCACACTTCTTGGAAGTAACCTACATTTTTGATCTTTAATATACAGTCGTTCATAAAAGACGAGCGAGCCTTACAGTAGTCGCGTATGATGTGTAACATTTGAAACCTCACCTTATATTAGTAAAAAGCTTTCGCGACTTCCTATTACACACTTCCGTCCCATTTCACGAAATCACTCCCACAAATTGCAGGAAAGCGAGAGGAAAGATGTTACACATCAAAAAGGTTGGGAACTAGGCTATAGAGCATTATAGCGATAGACTGCTAGCAGCTGCTGCCATAAATGGCTCACCACTTTTACATTACAATATCAACAATAAATTATTATGAGAATAGATTAACTAAGACACCAATATCTATCTTATAATCTATCTCTCTGGGCTGAAGGCGTTTGTTTGCTACCCTTTTTAACATTCACCAATTTAATACAAAACGTACACTAAAGTTAAACCAGGACTAACACTGATGTTATCACTTTTGTTTTCTAAAAAGAAGACAGAGACAACATTAGGTTTAAACCAAGACTAACTTTAGTCCACGCTTTGGAATAATGCAGAAAATTTCTTGCGTCGACATTTTCTATTCGTTTCTTTGTTTGCGCAAGTTACTGCAAAAAAGTCATTTTATAACAAACAAAACTTAAAATAAAATGTAAATTATCAATTTCCTGTACAGTGGTGAGAAAATCCGGGAGCTCATAGAAACACTGGAACATCGTAAACTGGAAGCTATCCAATTCACATTCCGTCAAGTGAGCAAGAACTTCACCGAAGTGTTCAAGAAGTTAGTGCCACAAGGAAGAGGATCGCTCATCATGAGAACTGGCGCTGACGACGCCGGAGAACTGAGTGCTGAGGTTAGGATTAACTTTAAACTTTATTTCATATACCATAGGACACAAATTGCAATAACTTACCGAAGTGTTCAAGAATTTAGTGTCACAAGGAAAAGGTTCGCTCATTATGAGAACTGGCGCTGACGACGCCGGAGAACTGAGTGCTGAGGTTAGGATTAACTAAACTTTATTTCATTTAGCATAGGATACAAATTGCAATAACTCACCGAAATGTTGAAGAAGTTAGTTCCACAAGGAAGAGAGTCGCTCGTTATGAGAACTGGTGCTGACGACGCGGCAGAACTTAATGCTTAATGGTTAGTTAACAATGTACTTTATTGCGAATTACTTAGGGTTCAAATCGCTGCAAATTCCCTTAGATTAAACCAAAAAGGGAAGATACGGTACTTGTGCACAAACAAAAAAGGTTCGACTCGACTATATAACTCACACATGAGCGAGCGAGACAGAACGGTTCATTTCAACGCAGCGCGAGCGACTGTGTTTTCTTTTTTATCTTCACAAACGGCTGAGCTATATTGTTATCCTGTTCTTGATAACAAATAGCTAATATAAGCGAATAATATTCATGACAAACTGTGATTTTTGAAAAAAATCATTGTTATAGTTTTACGAATGAAGTGATGCAGTGGAATTTGGTATTTGTTCATGAACTCTTTGTACCCTATTTAAAGTATTGAAGGCATTGTTTCATTATTTTAACACAGAATATCCGCAATATTGTTATATTGAGTGCACATGTTTGGATGTCAAAATATGACTAAAGCTAATTGTGTGCATGCACGAAATTTAATCGGCGCACTTTTAATAATCTTCAATAGTCATTTTTATGGACTCCATAAACATCAGTTAATAACATGGAGGTTAGAGAGAGAGAGAACGATCGCTACGTGCTAAGACATTGCCCGCCTGTCCTTGAAAATTTGTAGAATTTATAGTTCATTTTTCAGCCACCAGCCGCGCTGCCGTCGGTAAGTAGTATCTGTGAAGTTAGCTGATTATGAGTGCAAGTGGATGAAGTTAGTTGAATAATGTACAAATTTTAAACTAGCGATCGCAGCGCCTCACAGCGATCGTCTCCTTCTCTCTAACCTCCATGGTAAATAACGTGAGATCCTTTTCTAAAACTTTACAAATACTGTATTGTTATTGCAAATACATATTGGGGGCAGCCGATATAAGTAATTAAAACGATTGAAAAGGGGCTGCAACGAGATTACGATAAATACACAATTACGAATGGGTTTGCTAATAGCGTAACGTACTCACGTTTGAAACCTTTGTCGGAAGCTTGTGGTCCGCGTATTCCTCTAGCTAGAGGAACAGCACACACAGTCATATAAGAAGTTCACAGTTTATTGTTGACGAATTCCACTTGTTTGGTATTCCGCACGTAAAGATTATGGTTATACGATGTGAAAGGAAAGGAGTGACGTAGGTCCTCTCGTGTGATCAATAGCTAACTGTCTGCGTTAGGATAGTAAAAAACCACATTCGCAGATGCATCGTTCTCGTTGCGAATCTACCCACATTTAAAAAATATAAAAAAAAAAATGGATGCGTGTAACTTATGTACGCGCGTGAGAAGTTATACTTCTTTAGCATCATCAAAATTTTTTTTTATTGTATGCAAATAATTAATAATTACAATAAAATAATAAAAGGACTGGAAAAGGATAGTTAACACAGTCAATTAAGTTCAGTTTTAATTTGAAAAATTAAATAAATATTCAATTAAAATCACTACTGAATTTAAGTTATTAGTCCATATGTAATTAGCACTTGTAAGTAACTAAAACACGTTGTGTCTATATAGAAACTAGAAACATGTGGATAAATATTATAAATATGAAAACAGTGATCAGAGGCGACGAGCGTGCCAACATTGTTTTTGACAACGCGATCATCTTATGGAGCTCCGTGGATCGTTCAAAGTACCTTTCGAACAGATGTCTACTAAGTGGTTAATAATCCACCATTATTAGACACTAACATTCATAACGCGCCCGCGGCCAACTTCATGGTGTTACTATTGTGTTACAGTGATGCGCGCGCATCTCGAAATTTCACTCACATGATTTTTTCATAACGCGCCCGCGGCCAACTTCATGCTGTTACTTTTGGGTTACAGTGATGCGCGCGCATAAAAAATTCGATCGAAATTTCACTCTCATCATTTTTTCATAACGCGCCTAAAGAAGTATAACTTCAATAAGTAACCACGATTAAATGATGACGAAACAAATACCTTATTGTAAAATTATCCCTTTGTTATGTTTGTTGTTATAGCGCGCTACGGGCGATCAATTCGCCGGCGTTGGCATCAAAGTTTCCTTCACGGGCGGTGAAGGCGACATGCGGGAGATGAACCAACTATCAGGCGGGCAAAAGTCTTTGGTAGCTCTCGCGCTCATATTCGCCATACAGAAATGCGACCCGGCGCCCTTCTACCTCTTCGACGAGATCGACCAGGTAACTTAAGTAATAATAATAATAAATCTTTATTGAAACACAAAACATTTGTACATAAACACAACAGAAATTCATACATGTGTGTGTGTGTATCTGTCTGTCTGTGTGTGTATGTGTGTGTGGATGTGATGTGTGTAACTATTATTGATAAAAAAAATCCGTAGGTATAAATGACATTTATTTTCTGTCCTCTCATATTTAATGATAATTATTGGACAGTGCTATCTAATGACCCATTGACGATATTAATTTTTAAGAAAAAACATTAACTTTGTTTTTTTAATACAGTGATGTTCACACACTTAATAAAAGAAATAAAAATAAACTAACTTTGCCTGCTACTAGGCTTCACAAAATCAGTACCTAATTCCTGTAAAGGACTTTGTATCCGCTTATACAATGAAGTCCCAAGCAATATCCCAGAGTTAACCATAAATAAATTCAAAGATACTATAAAAAAAACACTGATTAAAAAAAGCTTATTACAAAGTGTCTGATTATATTACAGACAAAAATGCTTGTATTTCAACTGTTCCAATCGTTCCAACAGGTTTTCTATTAGAAATAAATCATGACTGTATTGACATTGTAACAAACAACATAATGATTTGTAAATGTTGTTACATTATTCTTTTAATGCTGTGGAGATTTTTTCGCTCGTTTTTCTCCGCAGACAAAAAATATGTCCAATAAAGAGTGGTAGGAATAAATAAATTTTTGAAAAATTCAAAAGAGTTGTACTATGCATCCAATTTGAATATACTTTTTTATTATTTAGATTGCCTGTTAGAATAGCGCTGAATTTAAACCAATGGTTATAAATGCTTAATGTTGAAAATATAAATCTTGGACTGGAGATGCTGACCTCTTAATTTCATTTCAGTCCGCTTAAAACTCACTTTGAAAAGCGCTCGCGTTTTAATCATAGAGGTATAAGAATAGAGTAGGGGGAGATATAGACTACTACAAGTGGAAGTGTCCCTGTAATAGAAAGAAAAAGAAGATGAGAGACCGCTAGCTTTCTCTCTCTAATCGCGCATGCGCATTGGCAACCGTAAGCATTTTAATATTTCGATGTGATGCTTGGACCAACTATTGGACAGGCGACTGCTCATGCGTCACGAGAGAGAGATAGCTAGCGGTCTCTCATCTTCTTTTTCTTTCTACTAAACGGACCCTTTTAGGGCCGCCTTCCCCACTCTATTCTTATACCTCTATGGTTTTAATACTTACCCTTACCTTACTTCATCATCATCATCAGCCTCTTAATGTCCCCACTGCTGGGGCACAGGCCTTGCCTATGGATGGAATTCCCTATTGGGCCATGACCCACCACGCGGGCCCAGTGCGGATTGGCGGGTGCTAACGACTGCAGATGCAACCGGGACCAACGGCTTAACGTGCCTTCCACGGAGGGACTCGAGATAGAAGTATTTGGTCACCCATCTAATGACCGACCACTGCGAAAGTTGCTTAACTACAACGATCGCAGCCGAACGCGCCTTACTTACCTTACTTATTAATTTACCCAGGCTCTCGACGCACAGCATCGTAAAGCGATCGCCAACATGATCCACGAGTTATCAACGTCCGCTCAATTCATCACGACTACTTTCCGACCGGAATTATTGGAGCACGCGCACAAATTCTACGGCGTCAAGTTCAGGAACAAAGTGTCGCACGTTGAATGCGTTACGCAGGAAGAGGCCAGAGACTTCGTAGAAGACAGCGCTACACACGCCTAAAATGTTGTTTAATGTTAATTTTTAAATAAAGAACTTTATAATAAAATTAGTGGAATCCTTTTTTTCTGAACGACTATCGGCTGTTTATTCAAACGTTTTTAGTTATAGGACTTTAAGTTCCGAAACATATAGGCACTTATAAAATTACTAGCTGTCCCAGCGAACTTAGTACCGCCATAAAAAATAGGGGTTGGTGTGTAGTGTAGTTGGCCTTACTAGTTGCCTAGCTGTGTAGCTAGCTGCTTAGCTGGTTGCCTACCTAGCTCATTGCCTAGCTAGTTGCCTAGTTGTGTAGCTAGCTGCTTAGCTAGCTGCCGAGCTAGTTGCCTACCTAGCTCACTGCCTAGCTAGTTGCCTAGCTGTGTAGCTAGCTGCTTAGCTGGTTAATAAAAAATAACAACACCAGTATAAAAGTTTATTTCCAAAATGAATGATGTTTTAGTTTAATATTTTTAACTTTATAGTTATCTTTATAGATAAAAATATTAATTTTTCTTACATGAAAAAGTACTGATTAAGAATTTAAATCTCATAGAAAAATTACATTTATAATTAAAATAGTGAGATTCTGGCACGATTCTCTAAACATAAAAAAATCAGTCTCTCCTTTTCACTCTGTATAGAGAATGAGAAGAATAGACTATTGATAAATTTAATTTAAGATTTATCTATCTTTAATTTTAATTATAAATTTTCTCTAATGAGAATCATGCCATAATCGACACCAATATAGTAAAACAAGTCTTCAGTGAGTAGAGTTCTAGTTAACAGATTGCTAGATAGAAGAAGAAGGTAGTTAGCTAAGCAACTAGCTAAGCAGCTAGCTAGGCAACTAACTAAGTAGCTGCTTAACTAAGCAGTTAGCTACACAGGTAGCTCAGCAGCTACCTACACAGCTAACTAGCCAACTAGTTAAGCAACAAGCTAGGCAGCTATCTAGGCAACTAGTTAAGCAGCTAGCTACACAGTTAGCTTAGCAACTAGCTAAGCAGCTTAGCTGGTTGCCTACCTAGCTCACTGCCTAGCTTGTTGCCTAGCTGTGTTACTAGTTGCTAGCTAGTGCCTATCTTGCTACCTAACTAGTTGCCTATCTTACTACCTAGCTAGTTGCCTATCTTGTTAACTAGCTACCTGTGTAGTTAGTTGCCAGTTGTGTAGCTAGCAAGCGAGACTAGCTAGGCAGAGAGCTAGGCAACCAGCTAAGCAGCTAGCTAGATGCACTGCTAGATAGGCTAACTGAACTAGGTAAGCATAAACGTTAACTAGTTGCCGAACTAGCTGTGTATGTAGGCATCTAGATAAGCAACTAGCTAAGCAGCTTGCTTGCTTGATTATTATTTCACGAAACAATATTCATCATTTTTCTTTCAGATATTCATTCAGATTCATCAGATTATTCATTTATGACGTAATCTATACTTAACAATCGTATTTGCTCATACATTGAAAGTTGAAGACTGCATTGTATTATGTTAAAGGAAATCTGTATAATTCACTTATTCTATACAATACCTAGCGAATGTATAGCATTCCTGAGGCTTCTAGCAATGTATGAAACATTATAAATATTTTCCATTTTACACTTTGCGTAGGTAATGTATTCATTTCCTAGTGATTGTGTAGAGTACCTGCTGAGGTAGTTACGTCTGTTGACTCAACCGCAGTGGCGGACTAACAGGGGGGCGGAAGGGGCGGGCCGCCCCGGGCCTCCGATCTTGGGGGGCCCCCAAATGCCTCCGCGTTACCCTGATCAAATCCTAAACAAGGCTTTAAAGAAACCAGGAAAAGTGAAGGTAAAAAGAACGATACCGGGTGAATCACCTCATGATGCTGGATTATCAATTCAAGAAGAAATACGTCGGCCAATGTATGAATGCATAGACCGCTTTATACAGGAATTTTCGAATTGGGCTATTAAATAAATCAAAAATATTTTCCAAATTATTGAAACTAAGTTTATGCTAGAAGCTTCAGATGACGCTCTGGCTGTAGCACTTGACAATCTGATACAAAGTTATGGTGAATTGGACAAGACTAGTTTTAACGAAATAAACATAAGAATCTACATTTTTTTAAAGCTGGGGGCCTCATTCAGCTTTGCCACCCCGGGCCTCTGACGGGCTTAGTCCGCCACTGCTCAACCGCAACGTCAAGTCATCATATCATGCCTGTTGACGTTGATTCCACCATAACCCGGAGTCAACATAACATTTTCTAGAAGCCAGACGCTGAATCGACAGAAATTGATAAGTTCAACTCGGGCTGTCAACAACATGTTGTCTTAGCTTTTGTAAGTTAGTTCATAGTTAGTCTTAAGCTGGAAGTTGGAACGAATAAACGTCTCCACTAAAATAAATTGTATTTTTAAAAGATCCTTCGGCTTCCCACGTCTTGACTAGGTAGGTACTCTATACAGTACAACCAGAAAAAGGCAGACGGATTATATACAGTACAGGAAATGTATACATTACCTAGGCACAGGTTAGCATTGTGACCTAAACTTAGCGCGAGCCGAGCGAGCAAAGAGAGCGGCGAAGCGCCAGCCACCTGATTAGATAAATAATCATAAGTAATAACCCATTTTGACTGCGCATAAGGTATTGTATAGAATGTCTAGGCAAAGAATAAAATGAATAATAATTCATACATTGCCTTGACGTTTTAGGCATTCTAATCATTGCTTAGGTATTGTATTGAATGCCGCATTATACAAATTGCCAGTAACATATATAATGAAATTAAACGTAAACTGCACGTAGAAATAACACCAAGTGTACTGGTTCTAATACTGGACAATGTAAAATTTTCTCAATCAGTAGTGAATCTTATATCAAATATAAAGACTGAATTGACTAGCTTGAAATGTGGCTGTCTGTACAATATCACTTATTCGCGACTTATGAAGAACGCGCATCATCTTGGCTCCCACATAACCCCGCCTCTCACCCAGGAGCGGAGTATGCATCAAGCATATTTCCCAACAATAAAAAAAAAAAGTTGCCTAGTTAGCTGTGTGGCTAGCTGTCTAGCTATTTGCCTAGCTAACTGTATAGCTAACTTACCTTCTTCTATTCTAACTGTTAACTAGTTGCTAGCTAGTGCCTATCTAGCTACCTAGCTCGGCAGCTAGCTGCTTAGCTAGTTGCCTACTTAGCTGTGTGGCTAGCTGCTTAGCTGGTTGCCTAGCTAGCTGCCGAGCTAGTTGCTACACAGCTAGGCGCCTAGCTAGGCTACTAGCTCGGCAGTGAGCTAGGTAGGCAACCAGCTAGGATGAGGAGGGCCGCGTCCAATCGTGGCCAGTGAAGGCAGGCGTACCCCAGGGTTCCGTATTAGGTCCCCTCCTATGGAACCTGGGGTACAACTGGGTCCTGCGGGGTGAGCTCTTGCCGCGCATGGATGTCGTCTGCTTTGTGGACGACACCCTTGTAGCGGCGAGAGCGAGGGGGTGGGAGGAGGCGGTCCGCCTTGCGTCGGTCGGCACCTCCATGGTCGTCCGACGCATCCGCCTCCTGGGACTGGAAGTGGCCCTCGAAAAGACGAGGGCCATGGCCTTCCACGGTCCCAGACGCAGGACCCCGCCGGGGCTCCGTGCCCGGGTAGAGGGGGTGTGGGTTCCGGTCGAGATGCACCTTAAGTATCTCGGCCTGACCCTAGACCCCCGATGGAGCTGGGAGGAGCATTTCAGGCTCCTCGCTCCCCGGCTGTGCGGCGTCGCAGCTGGACTCGGTCGCCTCCTCCCCAATGTGGGGGGGCCGAAGGCGAAGTGCCGTCGGCTTTATCACTCCGTGATAAAGTCGATGGCGCTGTACGGGGCCCCGGTCTGGGCTGAGTGCCTCTCGTCCCGCACGAGGGCCCTCTTGCGAAGACCGCAGAGGGTCATCGCGACCCGGGCCGTGCGGGCTTACCGCACGGTCAGCCACGGGGCTGCCTGCGACCTAGCAGGTACGCTCCCGTGGGAGGTTGATGCCCTGGTACTATCCCAGGTGCATCAAGCCTTTCTAGTTGCCTAGCAAGCTGTGTAGCTAGGCAACTAGTGAGTTAGCAAGAAAGGCACTGGCTAGCAACTAGTTACACAGCTAGGCAACCAGCTAAGCAGCTAGCTACACAATTAGCTTAATTAGTGCTGCTAAGCTAGCAGCTAAGCTGGTTGCCTAGCTGTGTAACTACACACATCAAAAGTGTCTAGGGATCAACATATATTTTTGCAATAACTTTTCTCCTGATTGATATTAATTAAAATTTTCTTTAAGGATTCATCAAATAAAGTGTTTTCGTTTGTCACAGTAACGATAAACCAAGTCACCTTTGCATTAATAAAGAAATTTGCCATTTTCCTAATAAAGGGATTTTTGACATTTGAACCACTAACACAAAAGTTCGAAAAAAAGACTGAAATAACAGTTTTCTCTAAAATTTTATTGGGTAACTTAAACAATTAATAATCCGTATTTCTACCGCGAACACTAACAACACAAGAACATCGGTTTGGCATACTCAAAATGAGTTCATCCAAATCACGCTGTGGAATGGCCGCCCATGTTCGTTGCAACAACAAAAAAAGGTCTTCTTGCGACTGGATACCCTCCATATTCGGCAGAGCTCTTCTCTGTAGCATATCCCATGCATGCTCAATCGGGTTCAAGTCTGGCGACTGAGCAGGCCAGGGCAGGACATTGATGTTAGCTGCGGCGAGAGTCTGTCTTACAACTCTTGCGGTGTGCGGTCGTGCATTATCATGCATTAACTGAAATAAGGGACCGATTTGCACTTGTAGAGGAACGATGACGTCTGATACAATCGTCTCAGCATAAATTTGAGCGTTGAGGTTGCCTCTGATCCAAATCAACTCAGTTCTTCCGCCGATCCAAATACCCGCCCATACCATGATGGTTCCACCACTATAAGGATGGACTTCCTGGCAGGATTTTAATCGCTGTTGGCGTCCAGGGGTTCTCCAGTGTCGTATACGTCTTGTATCCGGTCTCATACCAAAACGAGACTCATCAGAAAAGCACACGAAACGCCATTGTT